TTCACAGCTGGGTGGACTAGGACACGTGGTCACAGTACTTTGTCCAAGTTTACTGCACGTTGCTGTACCCGCAACTAGGTGTTTGCACGTATTCACGTGGCCACCATGTGGTCATATACCAACGGATTCGTGACAACACTGAGAGAGTCTGCACGCAAAGTGGACACCAAGGTTTTTACACCCGGTCAAGGTGGGCTCGATGCCGTCACCTCAAGCTCGCTGGATCACTAGCCTGGCGCCTTAGCCAGCTCGCCCACAACCGAGTATTTGAGCTCGGTAAAGTTGACTGAAATGTGTAGATAGCTCTGTTGTTTGATCCCGGCTTTTCTCTCTATTGGGGCAGTGAAAAGTCATTGTGTGGTTTTGTAATGGGATGGAGATCCGCTTTGTAGACTGAGGAACATCGGTTACGATCACAAATATATCGCATGACCATGATACAACGAGATCTGAACAAAGAAAGTTACAAAGTTTTACAAATCATATTGTGAAATAGTGACAATCAGTTATGGAGCATTGTCCTCCATTGAGCATAGCTGACCTTTGATCAACACAGATCAAGGATTCTACATAAATTTGTAAATTTACATGTTTGAGGATTGAGTATGTTTTAACTGTAATGGAATTATTGAAGACGAAGAGCATGCTTTTGTCCAGCGTCCCTTATGTGATGGTTTGAGAATAGCTTTTTGTACACATGGTACTGCCCAACCTTTTTACATTGTCGAGCTACGAACAGTTAAGTGTCTTTTTAAAAAATTGAACCTGCTTTTAATTCATTTTAAACCTATTTGATATTGATAAACCTTTTTATCATCCAAACCTGTGTTCCACAGGAGATATCGTTTTGACAGTTGATTTTGTACAATGCCCTGACATCATCTATTACATGACTTACAATGCTATGACGTCAACTTGATGACGTCACAATTTCATGACATCGCTGCACTACAAGCCTAATGGCAGCACCGTGTTCAGAGATCTACATATTTCACTGAAAACAAATGAAGGGTGATATTTATGACAAATATAATCTCACCCTCGTGTCTTCTGATATCAAATATATCAATACTCGTTGATAAAATTAAAAATATCAGTAACTTTATCAACTCGTGTTGATATAATTGATATCAGTAGACATCAATGAGATTCTCTATGTATGCTTTTACAATCTCTCAGAACTTAATGTAAGCAGCGCTGTATCATATCCTTACTGTACGAAGCCTTAAATGTCTGTCTGTATATATGTATATTTTTAAGATGTCAGGCGATACCGTCGCCCCAGGAAGAATACATCAAGCGCTTCACTGAACTGGAACCCTAAAACCATGGGTGGCGATAAAAAAGCATTCACCTTTATGAAGAACCTCTTCTCGTTTATTGCACAGAGCGACGTTTCGGTGTAGATGCATAAACCCTTTTCAGGCTTAACGTGATGGGAAGACGAGAAAACCCCGTTGGTGGTAATCTCTCAAAGCAACACCCAGCTCCCATCCCCAATCCAACCTCTGTAACACTATAGTCGCGCATATGTCGGACATGTATCAAGGTCTCTCAGATATGAATGAACCTAGTATGGTGATCTACCTTCAGTTGTTGGCGATCACTAGTTCATTTTTATATTGCATTGTCCAAAAATAGATATCTGCTAGCTAGTTTTAACCCATTTTGTGATAATCTAGTAATTTCCTTCGTTGACAGGGTTTTATATATGATATGTATCTACTATGAATTTAGAAACTAGTTGTAGTCACGATATGGCTGAAATGTTGACGATGTGACTTTAAATCTTAACTCACACACTCACTCAGATATGAATGTACCTTTGTATTCATACAATCCCTCACGAGTCATCCCTAATCTCGCCTTTTGTTTGCGAAGGCAATATGTTTTCGCTCGACTGGCCACCTTTTCATCTTCCCGTCGGCTTTTGGTGGAACACATAAGTGTAAATAGCTCATGTAATGTGAACCAATGTCGCATGCGTGTGACGGCGCGACCATACACATGTATTAGTATTTGTTTTCTATGATCTTACACATTTAAAACAAAAGGATAATTCATCGATAATTTTAAAGAAATGTGAAGACAATATGATTATTGATGAGCTACAAGCATGTTTCAGATCAAATTACTCAACTATTGACTTTATATTCAGTCTGCAAGCAGTGATACAATATATACCGGAAAAAAGAGAGGGAGATTTTACTGCCTGTTTGTGGATTTTTCAAAGGCATTTGACACTATAAGACATCATATTCTATTACAAAGTTTGAAGTATGTTGGAATAAAGAGAAATATTTATAATCTACTTATCTCTATGTATTCGAGCCTGTGTGCCTGTGTGAGGGGTTCAAGGGGGGATTAATAGATTATTTCAAGTGTAACATTGGCACCCGCCAAGGCTGTATTTTGAGCCCTCAGCTATTTATCATATTCAACAACAAGCTTTTAAAACAACTGGAAGATGTTGGAGGAGAAGTTGTTTTTATCTCACAAGATTTTAAAAATGTTTTTGCCATAATGTTTGCAGATGATGTGTCATCTGTAGCTTATTCAACTCCAAAAGAAAATAGATGCTCTGAAATTAGTTTGCTTAGAAACTCGAATGAAAGTGAAGAAAACTTGAAGAAAACAAAAGTCATGGTCGTTAGAAATGGAGGACCCCTCAGAAGTTATGAAAATCGGACCTACAATGGCAAAAAACATTGAAGTTGTACCCTTCTACAGATATTTAGGCATTATGTTTACGCCCAAACTGATATGGACACAGGCTCAAATTTCTTTAGCTTCCCAGAGTTCTAAAGCTGTGATGTCTATAAACAGATATCAGAGGACACTTGGGGATATTCCTTGTAAAGATTTGTTCAAAATATTTGACAGTATTGTTACTCCTATCTTGTGCTATAGCTCTGAAATTTGGGGATTTAATTACAGCAAAATAATTGAAGATGTTCATGTGAAAATGTGAAAATCTTTTCTCAAAGTGTCAAAGAATACACGTAATGTAATGGTGCTAGGTGAATGTGGTAGAGCTCCACTGCAACTTACATATATGACAAGAGCTGTCAAGTTCTGGCGTAGGCTGATACAAATGGGCCCTGAGAGACTGCGCCACCAGTAAAACAGAATCTCACTGCCTTTGATGATTTGGGACGCACCTCTCATGCTACTAATATTAAAATATTTTATTCAGATTTGGATTTGGATATGCATGGATTTCCCAAGATGTTGGAGACAAATATATCTTCTTATCAATGCTCAAGCAGGGACTATTTGACAATCTACAACAAACCTGGAATGTAAATGTTAATAACCTATCTTACTCTTATTCATATAATCAATATAAATCCCTACTGACTGTTGAATACTATCTGAACTCATTACTTCCATCTCGCTTAAAAAGGATCTTATCACGCTTCAGATGCAGTAACTTTAGAATAGCTGTCAACACTGGAAGACATCAAGCTACACCATATGAAGAAAGACTCTGTCCTCTGTTTATCCCCAAAACGTTTTATTTTAATGAAAAAAATGCTCGAATTTGATTGGTCAATCCATACATCAGACGGTATCAATTTGATGGAAGAAAAGCTTGGCCACAATCCAGTCCCAAATGATGAGAAACAATGTTCCAAGGTATCCCAAGTTAGTCGCATGTGAAATTTATAGTTGTTTTCCGTAATACATTTATTGGTAAATACATCAATACTACCTCTCAACATAACTTTATTTCTATAATCTCTTCTCATAATTATGATATTTTGCATAAAACTTCAATCTTTATATTTAAAGCACAACAAATAAGGCAAAGTAATATATAATATATTCATATCATGCATTTGTACTATTTTATGCTATGGAATGTATGTAAATATGTATTATGCGCAGGGATATTTTGTTACTCTATATTGTCTGTATTTTGGGCCGAAGGCCTTATACTGAATAAATCTTATTCAGCCATTCAACTCCAAAAGAAAATAGATGCTCTGAAATTATTTTGCTTAGAAACTGGAATGAAAGTGAACTTAAAAGAAATGTGATCTGAAGTTAACATTTGAACTTGACATACTTGATATATTCCTTGATATACCCTCTATGTTTGTCTATGCTCCATGAGCCCATCGTCTTCAAAGAGGATACATCAACCCATGGGCCCCGAGGAACCAATGATCAATGTATTGATCTTACCGAACACCTCAATGTAACTTTTGAACTATTTGAAGCACGGGTATTGGATCACAATCAGGCAATTAGCCAACACCGACGAGAGACAAGGAAAACAAATTTAGAGTTATTCCCCTTCCATCGATTTGCATTCGTAAAACATCGGCAATTTCCGTATATCATACGTGACTCAATTATTCGAGATAAAGGTTTACTATTCGTGAGTGCGACGTCTCGATACAGATTCGATACAGATTCATGCTTGACAACGGTACAAGAATCTGTATCGAAACGTCGCACTCACGAATAAAAAGAAGTTGTTATCCATAAAGTTTGTTCTATGTTGTACTTCCCAACTTCTAAAATGCCACTCAAAGAAAGATTTACTAACACGAAGTACCAAACGAATTCCCACAATTCGGCATTCCCAGCGGGTAGCATAGAAAATGGTACTCGCTTGTTAGCAGGCTACATTGGCGCCTTGGAGACCTGTATAAAGGAGTAAATGGAACGTTGATAAGCGTTAGAGGCAAATGAATGAACTTGACAGATTGTACCACAGTGAACATACGGAACTTATGTATTTGATTTGTCACTTGATGAATCAAATAAGGCTGTGATGCATTCCATGTAACGTTTTAATTGTTGTATGCTATAAATTTGGAAAACTCTACTAATCAGGAAAAGATATATTTGGCATGACCATCGTCAACATCAAATATCAAAAGTTGCAAAACATTGAACAGGACATGTGTCATGTGTCTTACGCGGCTGATAAGTCATATGCAATTGTCAATGTTATTGGGAATTTGTTTTATAGATTGGATGCAACCATGGCTCACGAACAATGGCGCAGTCATCTGGATTACATCATCACCCTTCTGGGATACGGTGTCGGGTCGGGAGCATTCATCAGGTTCCCTTTCTACTGCATGCGCAATGGGGGAGGTAAGCCTCACTCAAATAATACTTCCATATTTGCATCTCAAAGCGAAACAAAACATATAAACAATTACACAAATCTCCTTGTCATAGAGGAAGGCCGAATCTCTTATAATTCAAATCTTTTCAGCTTAATAACTGGAAATAGTTTTCTATATACCGTGGTTATAATGTGGATGCAAAAGATGTGCGGTGGAAAGTACTTCGAACACTGCTTGTGACGTACGACACGTCCAGGGGATTCTGGCGGACAATTGGTACAGTTAAAGCTCCAGGGTTGTGCTAAGAACTGCCTCGTTTGTGCCGGGTGGATACAAAGTGTGTGCATCAACACAGTAAAGTTCTTTCTACCAGCGGCTATTAACTGACATGATTGGCCTTTGACCAGGACCCTTGCTATGCGATAAAAGAGTCACGGCTGGAAGACACATGGATCTCACTGGTCGTCCCTGAAAACATATGGCAGACTCCATGACGTTTGTATGTGAAAAACATACTCTCTCTCTCTCACAAAAAAAAAGCAACAAACCCAACAAAACAAATACAACCAAAAATATATTTATATTCAAAAATATTTTCATATGTCGTCATGTGTTCATAATTCTGTGCCTGTAAGTGGATATGGTTCATTTGTATACTGTTCTGTTTGCAATGCAATGCCAGTCTGGAAAATCATGAGGTGTTTCTGTTTGTTGCCAAGGAGCATACCTGATACTCTTCATGTTCTTCACAATCATTGGAACCATCCCCTGTGTGTTTCTGGAGATGACAATCGGACAGTTCTCTCAGAGTGGACCTATCAAAGTCTGGAATATGTGTCCTGCTTTCAAAGGTAAAAGTGACAAAAGACAAACAGTTCAGTTTCAACATGTAACGTATTGGTTTGCATGGGTGGTCCATTCATCTAGGTTGCTACAATTGGCATTGCATCCCTTAGGCATGCCCGTGAACGTAAATACCAACCACTGGTTCGCATTGAATATGATCCTTTGTTACTGACATATACTTAATCATGACGTTTCTGTGAAGAAGTATACCAAAAATATCAGTTACCATACACTAAAATATATTGCTGCTTCGGGAGTTAGTATGACGCGCCCTCATACAAATCCTTATTTTACCCTCCGTTGCAGGTATAGGTATCGGTACCGTTATCGTAACATGGATAGTCATTACCTATTACAACGTCATCTTCGCATATAAACTCACACGCAAAAGAAACGCAAGTCTAGTATAAAGTATATATGTACTTATTTTTTAACAGTATAGAATACAAATACCAACAGCGTCAGATATACAGAAATTTGAGCAAGAACAGTTCATTGGCAACAAAACAGATGACGTCATTACATTTTGTGACAGCAAAAGAGTTGCGCAGATTCTAGTCAATTGCCATGACGTCATTCAATACCTGGTGTGGCCACCATTAGCATTGATCACTGCAACACATCTCCTGTACATGGAGTGGATCAGACGATTCGTAAAGGCCCTGGGGATCCTCCTGCACACATCCAGAACAGCTGTACGAAGTTCATCAGCAGTTGTAGGCACTGGTCGCACTTCATTCAGGCGCCTTTGAACCTCATCCCACAAGTGCTCGATGGGGTTCAGGTCAGGGCTGAGAGCTGGCCACGGTAGGACACGGATGTTGTGTTGTTGAAGAAAGTCCATGGTAACTCTTGCAACATGTGGACGAGCGTTATCCTGCTGGAAAAGGTGGTTACGATGTTGGGCGAAAAATGGAGGTCTGATGACTTGGTCAATGTAACGCTGAGCTGTGACCCCATGTCCTCGACCTTGACCCACATTCTGGAAGCACATTGGTCCAAGTCTCGCATTAAGTCCAATTCCGGCCCAAATCATGACACTAGATCCACCCCATGCATCCCTTTCCAAAACATTTCTGTCAGCAAAACCATCTCCTTGACGTCGCCAAACTCTGACCCTTCCATCTGCACGTGACACACAAAACCGACTCTCATCAGAGAATATGATACGTCTTCATTAACGTTGACGCCAGTTTTGATGACCTTGTGCCCACTGAAGTCGTGCTTGTCGATGCCGTGGTTGGAGGACAGGACGACGTGCTGGTCGGCGACATCGTAGGTTGTTGGAACGAAGACGTCGGATGACAGTGTCACGGCTGATGCGTCGATTATGCGTTCCTATGGTGTCTCGAGCAGTCTGGCTTGCTGCCAGGAAAGGATCTCGCTGGTGTTGACGTGTAATGTGTCGATCTTGTCGAGGGGTGGTGACCCTAGGTCGGCCGCTTCGGGGAAGGTCATCTGTAGTCTGCGTTGTGTTGTATCGATGCTGGAGACGGTAGATCGTGGTTATGTTGACATTAAAGTGACGGGCAACATCTTGGACAGACTCTCCAGCTTCCAACCGTCCGATAGCCTGGTTCCTCTCAAGTTGATTTAAACGTGGCATTGTTGAACAAAGAGTGACTGGCCAAAGATTTTGGCTCAGTTTTATACCCACTGAAGATGGTGACAACTCGTGCATGTTTGATTGCATGAGGAAAGTGTGCATGATGCCCACATCGCCATTGAAGCGGTGCGTTCTGGCGATTCGTTTTTTCTTCTGTTCCCACACTGGCTTTGCAAAACGCAACAGAAAATGTTAACAACACCATCAACCATCATTATTTACCAACGTTGTTATAATTTTAGGGTCTGAGTTTAATTCCTCCTTTGAGTAAGAAACTTGCGTTTCTTTTGCGTAGTTACACGTGAGTTGCAAAATTCATAAAACAATCTTGCTTTTAAGCAAGTGTCTTTTGTTCACATGAAAACAATGAAATCGCTTCTTACAGTCATTAGTTAGCTTTAGTTAAGCAAGTAGTTATTTAATTCACTCATTGAATAATTATGGTCCAACAGCTCGTCTACATCACTGTAATCCTACCCTACATCCTCATCCTTGTCTTCCTCATCCGGGGCTGTCTACTTCCGGGGTCAGCAGACGGAATCTACTACTTCATCTTCCCTAAGTTTGACAAGCTTACTGATCCTAAAGTGAGCACAAATATCAGTTTTGACTTGTCAAATTACATTGTTGCTGACGCTATTGTTATTTGATGGTGGGTAGCCTAGTGGTTAAAACGTTCGCTCGTCACGCCGAAGACCCGGGTTCGATTCCTCACGTGGGTCCAAAGTGTCTCCCCGCCAGGATATTACTGGAATATTGCTAAAAGCGGCGTAAAAGACTAAACTCTCTCACCTACTCATTCAATGAAAGGGAAAAATTAAAATGCTTCTTATTATTGCACACCTTGAGTTGCATGAAAAAGGAATGATCAAGAATTAAGTTTTATCTTGTGATTTTGAATAGAGATGTATTTACCCGGCACATTTCTCTGGTCTCAGGTGTGGATTCACTCGTGTAGATACGCCCTGTTTTCCATGGGTATAGCCATGGGGTGTATCATCACGATGTCTGGACACAACCGAAAGGATAACAACTGCTTCAGGTATAGTCAATCAGGTTTCAAAGAAATGCTGCAGTTGTTGTAAAGGCATCTTGATATCCTGTGACTGACGAATCAAAAGGTAATGTTAATTAACACGTAACAAAGATGGGCCTCATTGCCATATGTATAAATATTTATTTACATAAAAGCTGTAACATCCAGTCTTTCAAAACTGTTTGTATTATGAATTACTTAGAGAAACTTTGTTAGCTAATATAAGTGATAATAGATATTTACAAAATAGATATTTACTAGATATATGTCGTATTTTATATGGCAATTCAGATCTCTCAACTGAAGAAAATCTGAATATCTTCAAACATGTACATCATTACATCAATCAAACTAAACGATTCCTCTGTTCATCCTAATCTGATATATTCTCAAACTCAAAGATCTCTCATGTATATGTTCTCTGTAAATGAATATAATTTGTTGTAAATATTGGGAGAGGGCGCCATTGTGCCCAATCCTTTTCTTCAATGACTAAAATATGTTCAAATCAAAACTGTTTGTATGATATAAATTAAGTGTTATGTTTTTCCTAAAGGGATGCAATAATAATTTGCCTGATGGATTCACTCAGCAACGTCTTCTTCGGCTTCGCTTTCTTCTGTATCGTTGGTCACGTGGCCTTCCAACGTGGAGTAACTGTTGAAGCCTTTGAATCCTCTGGTGAGAAGCATACGTTCTTTGAATGGAATGTTAGAAGTTTAGAAGTATAATATATAACCTATTTCTAATGTCTGAGGCTCTGCAGTTAGCACCATCCATGAACTATTTCACACTATTTCACACAACACTATTTCACACAACACTATGGCGACATGTCCTTGACAACTTCAGGTGTTTAAGCAGCATAAAGTAATTCTTGTTAAAAGACAGACACAAAAAAATATTTTTGCTGTATGATTGATGACGATAGTTCTTTCCTACTCTTTGCCGGCATGTTCCATGTCACTTAAAGAACGGATCGACGTCTGTTTGAACGTTTGCATTTTGGCTGCCTTCAACATCCAGCAGTTCAATTTTTTATTCAATGCATACTTAGTGCTGGTCAGATTGTCTCGCTGATAAGGCAAGTCTTTGTTCACATGGAAAGTATGGAAGGTTTTGTTATTCAGTCATTGTGTGTTTATCATTGTAACAGAATATCACATTCTGCAAAATTATATGTACGCTTCTTTAAGAACTTATTAGCATCAAATTGATATTTTAAGTCACACTGACTACTCCACTTGTCTTTCAGGCTATGACCTTGCCTTCATCGTCTACCCCGAGGTCCTATCTGCTCTCCCTCTGCCTCCGCTATGGTCTGTGATGACATTTTTGACGTTCATGTTGTTGGCTATCGATTCCGCGGTAATGAGGAAAGGCCAATACTCCCGAAATCGATACCTAGTTTTTGTTCATGAACCTATAAATCAAATTGAACTTAGGATCAATTTCAATAACGTTAATTGGTTAATCTGACCAAGCCATTATCCAACACGAAGGAGTGACTGATTGCCCCATGTAGTCATATTCCGGGAGAACCTCTCTCTGGTGAAATGCTCTATATCTTATACATGCGTATTTGCTTCCTTTTATTTCCAGAATATTTGCACATCTTGTGAACGATCCCACGATCACTACAATACACGCCTAGGAAGTTCCTGTAATAGTTTGTTGATACACTTTTATTGACAAACTTCTTGCCAACTGAAATTGCTTTAAATGTGACACTTTTTAAATGTGCATTTTGCAGGCACCGTCTGTTGAACTAATCATCGCTGCCTTGGAGGATATGTTTCCGCGGTTGATGAAGCGGCGCTGGCTTATCATCGGTGCGGTGCTCCTTAGTCTCTTCCTGTTTGGACTTATATATATTTCACAGGTAATGGTACTTCTCAAGTCTCTCCTTGTTTGGTTTGATATATATTTCACAGGTAATGGTACTTCTCAAGTCTCTTCTTGTTTGGACTTATATATATTTCACAGGTAATGGTACTTCTCAAGTCTCTTCTTGTTTGGACTTATATATATTTCACAGGTAATGGTACTTCTCAAGTCTCTTCTTGTTTGGACTTATATATATTTCACAGGTAATGGTACTTCTCAAGTCTCTTCTTGTTTGGACTTATATATATTTCACAGGTAATGGTACTTCTCAAGTCTCTTCTTGTTTGGTTTGATATATATTTCACAGGTAATGGTACTTCTCAAGTCTCTTCTTGTTTGGTTTGATATATATTTCACAGGTAATGGGTACTTCTCAAGTCTCTTCTTGTTTGGTTTATATATATTTCACAGGTAATGGTACTTCTCAAGTCTCTTCCTTGTTTGGTTTGATATATATTTCACAGGTAATGGTACTTCTCAAGTCTCTTCTTGTTTGGTTTGATATATATTTCACAGGTAATGGTACTTCTCAAGTCTCTTCTTGTTTGGTTTGATATATATTTCACAGGTAATGGTACTTCTCAAGTCTCTTCTTGTTTTGTTTGATATATATTTCACAGGTAATGGTACTTCTAAAGTCTCTTCTTGTTTGGTTTGATATATATTTCACAGGTAATGGTACTTCTCAAGTCTCTTCTTGTTTGGTTTGATATATATTTCACAGGTAATGGTACTTCTCAAGTCTGTTCTTGTTTGGTTTGATATATATTTCACAGGTAATGGTACTTCTCAAGTCTCTTCTTGTTTGGTTTGATATATATTTCACAGGTAATGGTACTTCTCAAGTCTCTTCGTGTTTGGATTGATATATATTTCACAGGTAATGGTACTCCTCAAGTCTCTTCTTGTTTGGTTTGATATATATTTCACAGGTAATGGTACTTCTCAAGTCTCTTTGTGTTTGGATTGATATATATTTCACAGGTAATGGTACTCCTCAAGTCTCTTCTTGTTTGGTTTGATATATATTTCACAGGTAATGGTACTCCTCAAGTCTCTTCGTGTTTGGATTGATATATATTTCACAGGTAATGGTACTCCTCAAGTCTCTTCCTGTTTGGACTTATATATATTTCACAGGTAATGGTACTCCTCAAGTCTCTTCGTGTTTGGATTGATATATATTTCACAGGTAATGGTACTCCTCAAGTCTCTTCCTGTTTGGACTTATATATATTTCACAGGTAATGGTACTTCTCAAGTCTCTTCTTGTTTGGTTTGATATATATTTAACAGGTAAAGTGCAAGTGTCCGTTTGGTTCAACATACATTTGAATAAAGTAACTGTGTATTATTTGATGTTATGCCATTTCTTAATGCAAAATGTAATAATATGGTTTGTGGTGTTTTCCTTAAACAATTTCTACCTATCGACAGGATAATATCGAAATCTGTATGATTTGACACCAGGAATTATGACACACCCTGGAAGAGATGTGGTGTCAAAAGTCAGTTCACAAATTCAGTATCGACAAGGCTTGACAAGGAGGACGCATAGACGACACAAAGCGACTGAAGAAACCTTGGCGAATGCTGTGCCATGTCTGAATCAACGCTTATCCCAATTCAGCTGACGTCAATGGCTGATTCTGGGCTTGACGTAAACGTCCCACCATTTCATCCCAAGCTTGCTCGGTAGGGGACCGGTCCGGAGAAACAGCCGGCCAGGGGAGTACCGGAATGTTCTGCCGTCTCAAGTAATCTGTCACAACACGAGTGACATGTGGACGGGCATTTTCTTGCTGAAGCGTGAAGTTACGTCCCTGTCCTTGTATGGATGGCTGCATATAAGGCAATGATACCTGTATCGCAGACCTGTCATATTGCCAATGTCAATGACAAGTTGTGTCCGACCATGAGCTGTGACGCCTCCCACCATAGCGTTGTCGCAACCAAACTGCTGACGTTGAACAACGCATGCGTCAGGTCACCGTTTACCTCTCCGTCTATACACCCTTGCCCTGCTATCTGAGCTGTCCAGATAAAGTCTCGACTTGTCAGTGAACAAAACACCATTCCAATCTTGTCTCCTGTACCGTAAATGCTGTCTCCGCCAGGCAAGACGTGGCAGTTGGTAACTTTGGAGCGGAATTGGACGTTTTGCAGGCCGCCGGGTTCGGGTGTTGTGCTCCCTCAGTAGCTTTCGTACAGTCTTGGAACTGATTGGACGTAAGCCAGGAATGGTCCGAGCAGTCAAACTGGCAGTCTGGAATCGATTCCTTAGATGGGTTAGCCGAATGTAATTGTCTTGCTGACGTGACGTCACGCGTGGACGGCGGTCTGAGGCAAATCACTCGTGTACCCATTATGTTGAAAACATCTCCATAGAGATGAGATCGTGTTTCGATCGACATCAAAATGTCTCGTCACTTCATTTTGGGCCATTCCAGCCTCCAGCATACCCACGGCACGGAGACCCAACATGACGTACGCGCTGTTTTGGTTGAAATTAGCGTGATTTCCACAACATTCAGAGGCTAGAGAATAATCAACCGCCCAGCAGTTTTCAATATCAGGTGTTGTAAACGTCAGGTGTCAAAAAAGCATGCAAAAAGTAAGCTCACTGTGCACAAATTCCACGTGCCACGTGCGATACGTGACATCAAATATCATTCAAAGTGCTTTACTACATGTTTTTAGGGTTATTTTTATAACTTTTCAACTGACTTTATTTTATACAATTTTATGGTTTGCACAGTTGCTTGTTTCCGTTAGTACGGGCATGTGTACCTACCTACCTACCTACCTACCTACCTACCTATCTGGGGCGGTGGGGTAGCCTAGTGGTTAAGGCGTTCGCTCGTCACGCAGAAGATTCCGGTTCGATTCCTCACATGGGTACAATGTGTGAAGCCCATTTCGTCCCCCGCCGTGATATTGCTGGGAAATTGCCCAAAGCGGCGTAAAACCAAACTCACTCACTCACTCACTCACCCACCCATCCACGTTTAACGACGCACCCAGCAATATTCCAGCTCTATGAATGAGTGCGGCGTAAAATTAAACTCACTCACTCCAGCTCAATGGTGGCGGTCTGGACCAGACAATCCAGTGATCGATATCATGAGCATTTATATAAGCATTTGGGATACGATGAAACGTGTTAATCAGTCACTGTGCCTGACCACCCGACCCCTTATGACAAACATGGGTTGTGGAAGACAAATATTAAGCCCCACTAACCTCTACATGGGCGAGCACACGCGCGCGCGTACACACACACAGCGCCGCTCTCTGAATAGCCATATATATGATTTCGTCCTTACAATGACAACTCCATGGTTACTTCATTATATTAATATGAGGAAGATGTTATACCGTGTCTTAAAACACTTCGGAACAATCTTTACATTTTAGGGTGGGATATACGTGGTGACGCTGATGGACTGGTACGCCTACTTCCCATCGACGGCCGTGTTTGGCATCCTTGAGTGCATTGCTGTGGGTTGGTGTTATGGTAAGGATGCATCAACCTTGGCGTCTTTCAGAAAAGCGTCAAAACATGTTATGTCCCTTTAATTTGTTATTGTGTTGTGATATACTTATATGAATACAAATCAGTCTTATATAAGTCAGACGTTTACAATGAACATGATGGTCAACTTGAAATGAGTATAATGCAAACTGCAGATTGGCCATCAAATTTAACAAAAATGACAAAAGTCGTTCTATAACCTAAAGAAATATCTACAAAAGCAGAATCCTTTGTTCCGAAAACTGCTCAAACATAGATCTATATAGACAATCCCGTTTCCAACTCGACTAATCTGTAAACGTCTTCCGAGCATCAATAATCCCAAAACATTGCCTTTGGATGTGCTATTTTCTCTGCCTTTGTTTCTATTTTACATTGGTATTTTAAATAGGTGTGCTTGATAGTACATGGATGTGTGCATAGTAATTCATGATGATTTTCTTACGAAGGAACAAAGAGGCTTCAGGAGGACATCCGTACGATGTGGGGAAAGACGATACCTCAGGTCATGGTCATAAGTTTCAAGTTTGTGTGTCCTCTATTTCTCGTGGTAAGTAGACACATCAGTGATGGAAAAAAATGTAAGCATCGAATCACGCCATACAATCATGATAGCTGAAATGCAAAGGAACATAGTTTTGCTGGGCAAAGGTTCTAATCGATACTTCACAAAGAGTCAGAAACTTGTGTGTGGTACATTATTTTTCAGGGATACTTAGGGGGATATAATTAGAGTGCTAAAAGAAATGCTATTATAGTAACTATATGGAGAATACTTCCTCAATTTTATACGGAAATCGTGGCATTGCACTGTGTGTTTGTGCTTTACTCCAACTGTTGTACCAGGTGATCTGCTGCTACTCCTTCTACTCCTACCGACCCCCAAAGTACGGGGACTACATCTACCCTGCCTGGGCAACAACTCTTGGGTGGCTCATATCCTTTTCATCACTCCTGCCGTTTCCGATTGTTTTCATATGGACGGTTTACAAGACACAAGGTGGAACCGTGAAAGAGGTGAACACATAGAAAACATTTGAATCAACTTAGATCGCAGCTTGCAGCATCTTTGAAGTATAAAAAACCCGTTGCAATTACCTTAATGAATGCATGATATCTTGAAGTATCTTGGATCGGACAGGAAAGTTAATGAGGACTAACTGATCACTACGCTTATTTCATACATTGAATTATTTCAGAAACTAAAGAAATCCCTCGAGCCCAATGAATACTGGAGTCAATCGCCTCAAGGGGAAGAGTTCATTGAAGGTTTACAACCAATGGTAACACTTGAAAAAACCTCAGCCTCACAATGAAAATTAAACTTTCGGCCTGCCAGCCAACTGTGGTCGTTTCTTTCCACAGATATAGGGCCTGTAAGTTTCACGAGCGCTACTTCCGGTCCCCGGCTCCCTTTGCGCGAACCAATTTGCGACATGGTAGGCTTACTTCCGGTATCAGATTTCCGGTGACAAGCGTATATTCAAGAACCAGTTCTGGTTCCAAGTTGCGCCACCGCCAAATATGACTTTACTAGACCGAACCAAGTGTATGTTGTTTGTCGCAGGGAGTGCTAAGGTCTCGCGAAGTGCCGTGACCTACTTACGGGCCCTATTCGCTGGTACGTTCCTATAAATTTATAATGCTGCAGATTGTGTTTACCGTCGGCGTCATTTTCATCCACATTGTCTCATGTCACATTTAGTGTCGACTGCATGCCGTAAAAATGCCTATCATTTAGATGGGAGATCGACAATCAGTTTACTGCACACATGTTCAACAGTTAAGGAAGAGACAGATATCCAATGATCAACAATTTCCTGATACATCCAAAGCGTGATCCCTATTTCTGAAAGCATTGTGTTACCTGATTCATGTACATATCTCTTATTGTGTAATGTTGTGTAAGAAATGTAGTAGAAACTAAAAAAGGTTAACATGTTGTCAGTAGTTAAGATTAACTGTAACTGAAAAAAGATCCTTTGATCAATATGTTACATCTGATCCATGACCCCACTTTTCGACAGCGTTGAACAGCCACGGTTACATGCTCCACCGTTTCTCCTGGAGCACCTGTGATACGGGTTTAACTTAGTCTTCAGCAACCTATGCTTGTCGTAAGAGGCGACAAACGTGATCGGGTGGTCAGGTGGAAGCCATTTGGTGTATCTTGGCTTTATCGCCTTAGCTATGCTTACACTCCATCTGTTCCCATGCAGTTACGTTCTACTTATTATTAATTATCTGTTGCTAATGTTAACCTGCTGCTTGTCACGAGATACTATCACCTCTAATTAGTTGGTTGCAGTCTATTGAGTTTGATAATGGTGTAAGAAATTATATGGAAACGTCAATCTAGGCAATCAACAAGACGTTGTTGTCCATAACGTTGTATGCTTCATTCGTTTATGATTCGTTAATGATTGTGACATTCTACACATCGATACCAAATCTGTATTCATAACCCTCTCGTTGATTAAATAATTACCTCTGAAATTTCTGTGTTCTCTGTCGTCTCGCCACAGCGGCGCTCGATAGGGCGGAGTTTGAAGATGTGATTGCTATTAGTGATTACTAATCAAACGACAGTTTTTTACAAATCACATCCTGCACACTGACATGTGTTCACTGATTATAACAATTGTAGCATTTGCAAGAATCTTCAAACCCTTTGATTGTTAAGATCACCAAGTCTACGTACAGGCATCGAAAGCATCGACTTAAGGATTACAGATGCACCTTGTTACCGACAGACAGACAGTCAGACAGATTGTTTATTATAAGTCTCACCTCATTTACAGAAATCAAAACAATATAAAATAAAAACATAAGATGAGCCATCCTTAAAAGGATTATGATAGACTATTTACACATAAAATTATACAGAAAATAAATATAATGATATATGATATAATAAAATTTACATATGTTAACAGACTAATTGTAAAGTTGGCGGCGTCGTTCCTTTAAAACATCAAAGGACTAGATATTATAAACAAAAACTTTTCCACATCTGTAAAATTTATAAAGTTACTGTCTAGAAATTGGCACTTATCCAGCAAACATTTTGTAATAGACTGATATAAAGGACAAAATAAAAGAAGATGTATTTCATCTTCAACAACATTCAAACAATTAAAACACACCCTCTCATCCACAGGCATATTACTAAAACGTCCAGTTTCTATTAGTAAGGGGGCAACACCGCATCTGAACATAGCTAAAGCTCTTCTGTGTCCTCGTGGTATGTGTTCTGTAACATAATGCTCTGCTCCATAGTCTATCTTAAAGGCTCTGTATAGCCGTAGTTTATTACCTCCCTTGCCATCTCGACCAGTCGGACAATCTATTTTCTTTTTCCATTCATTAAAACATTTTCCGTGTACTGCTTCCTGGGCTGAGTGTACAATTTCCTTCCTCCGTAATCCATTATCAACTTCTGTCAAATCAGTCAAATCTAGTGATGACAATTGTAGGTGTAAGCGCTTTATCCAGTTTCTTTGCTTTCTTGAATCCATCTATTCTGTCCAGTTAAAAATCTTGTAAGTTAGTCTGTCTGGGTTAAAGCAATTAAGTCTAGTGTACATTCTCATGAGAGAGCCCCAGAGTTTCACTGGTGTAGGTGTCCATCCCATGTCGCCTGTCACTGCAGCGTTGGGGGTAGATTTTCGCACTCCCATATAGAATTTCATAGCTCTATTTTGTATAGTCAAAGTCAAAGTCAAAGATGTTTATTGTACAAAAGGCCTCCGGCCCATATACATTGGAGTTATACATATACATTATACATATGGGGCGGTATTCTATAAAAGTCTAAGATTTTTCTTAAGTTTTTTCCTAAGACTAAAAAAATTGACTTAGGTAAGTCAAAAACTTAAGTCGGTATTCATTATAAACTTAAGTCAGAGACTTAGCTAAGTCTGCGTAAAAAATCTTAGTCAAGTTCATATCCATGCGTGCGCATGTTGTCAAGGGAAATCCCAGGACAAATTTCCTGACGTCACGGGATATCCCCGGAATTCCCCGGATGTTTACAGCAGACGACACTCGTAAACAAAATGACAGATGTTGATAACGCCGGTAGTTGTGGTAGTTCACGGAAAAGGCAGCCAAACTGGACGAAGGATGAGTGCCTCCTATTAGCGGATCTCGTCAAGGCGAGCAAGCAAACGATTGAGGGGAAATTTTCCCAGGGAGTGACGGCCACGAGTCGCCAGGAGACATGGCAAGTGAGTGAAATCTCGAGTGATTTTATATCATGTAAAATGTTGTGTGATTCAGTACTGAGTCAGTTGATCAGATGAAGTTTAAAATGCCAATCAGAAAGAGTCTTTCGTGTAAATTATCTCACAAAAGTAATGGAATTACAGTGTTTGAATTTCGCGAAGAGAATCACTGTGCTGTTGAAGGAGAAATTATACACATGATCAGATATGAACGACAATTTTTACCGTTGTCAAGGCTGATGCAAAATATGTAATTGCACATTCCTGTGCCAGTGTTATTGATGAGAACAGTTTCAAGTGGACCAGCCTAGGCTGTCTCTGAGTCTCTCTCTGTCTCTGTCTGCCTCTCTCTGTCTGTCTGTCTGTCTATCAAGAGAGAGAGAGACACACACAGACAGACACACAGAGACAGACAGACAGAGACAGATAGATAGATAGATAGATAGATAGATAGATATCCATAGATAAGCACATGTAAGTGTAGGCTAAAGATGCGCATGGAGTACGTGTTTTATGGCTAATATAGCATTCCTAATTTTGACATTTTCACAATGATTAAAATATTTTTTATCCCTGTTTTCAAAAGGTGAGGGAAATACTGATAGGTTATGGGACTCCAAAACTGGAACTGAGCAATGTGTCACTGTGTTGTGCTCCATTATTCTAGAGACACCTGTATTGAAGTATGCCCAAAATGTGCAAAGGAAATAGTGTATTTCATCCTTATTTGCTTGATGTATTCCCTTGAGTGTTTTATGTAGGTGGGTATCTTTACCCTCTCCGAATTGATATATTTAAAAAAATAGTTGAATTGAAACAAAGACAATGCCCTTCTTATGATATGACGGATGCTGTTTGTAAGATTGTTTATTTACAGTAATATTCTCTACATTCTGTTTTGGAATCCAATAAAGGGCTTTACTTCAGTTTATAATACACATATCTATGATTAATGGTACACAATTACTAAGCCTTAAAGGTGTAATTATATACATTTTTTGCAACCTTTTTACCTTTGTTCCCTCCGACTTGAAATAATCAACAGAGAAATCATTAAATGCACTGAAATATTAGTTTTTCATCAATTAAAATAATTTTCGTTTTCCATCCTCCAATTGAAGAATGCCAAACATAAATTTGTTATTTTCAAATCAAGGAGGTGATATTAATCCAGTTGTTAACAACTTTTTGTTTTAGAAAATCACTGACACCATCAATTCAATTGGACAGCAAAGAAGCAGAGATGAGGTTATAAAGAAATGGAAAAACCTTAAGAGTGCGGGCAAAAAAAATTACAGCACTTTCAAGAATGCAACAACTGCAACCGGTAAATTTTGTAATTTATGTCCTATGGAGGGTAACATATTGGGGTTAGGGCCTTAAAAAAAAATCTTGGGGTTCCGATTTAACTACTGACCCCAAATTTTGCTACTGACCCGAACAATTTTACTCTCCGTTATAAATCAAATTTACTTTCTGTCATACAACTATTTAAAACTTTTTCCAGCAGAAAACTGTAAAATGTAAAATATCACACAGATGAGTCTACATTGCAAAATCATAAAAACATCAAATTTCTATCTTGCTTGATGAGGTAAACATGGTATTTATTACGAAAAATAGTAATCTTCTATATATGATATGTGTAGATGACATTGGGTGAGTTGTGTAATATGTTTCGTATGACCTTTACCGTATGTTTAGATAGTATGAGTAATTCCAATTAAGTGGAAAAAAACAATTTTTTATAATTACAATAATTAATGTCTGACAATATTTTCAGGTGGTGGACCTCCCCCAACACCAATTAGCCCAGTTACGGAAGCTGTGGTGGACTGTATAGGCCGGGAGAATACAGTGCTGACAGGGATTGGGCCGATGTCTATGGATTCTAGTTTCATCCAGCTCCTAGAGCTAGATCAGTCCTTTGAAAAGTAGGTAATAACATATTGAAACAATTGTATGAGTTCCCCTGACCATGTACGCCTGACCATTTGAATTCCTAAAATTAAAGTTGAAATTAGAAATTAGATAAACCTTGTTTCTATATTTGTCTGAAAATCTTTGAAGAGATAAAATAATAACAGAAAACAGGATTTAAAAAGTAATGATATATTTTGATGAATACAATACTGATAATCTACATCTGTGTTTCAGAGAGTTAGATCCAGTTCAAGAGGGAGTGAGATGTCCTTATCCTACATCACAGGTGGGACAGTCATCATCAGCATCAGCAGCATCAGCATCACTATCAGCAGCAGCATCCATATCAACAACTTCCTTAGAAGTCCTAGAAAGAGAAGTTTCTACTGGAGATTGAAGTTCTAAAGTACACAGAAAACTTATCTTCAATCAAAATTAAGGAAATTAGAAGAATAGCTGTATCAAATACTAGTAGTCAGTATCAGTTTATGTCTGTATGACTAGTTCAACCTACACAAAAAATCTTGATTAAGCATAAGCATTGAAGTTATGATTTGTTGGTATGTGTGACTTATCCATTAATATGAAATAGAATTTTGTGTCTATTTATGTCTAATTATTAACATGTATGAGTTGTACTGGGGTATTTTTTTGACAAAAGTAAATTTGGTCATTGTATCTATATGTATCTCTCAAAGGTAGATTTGCTCAATGTTCAGAGCTAATGACAGCAGATTAACAAAAACTACAAAAATAACAGAATATGGGAACAATTTTGATTTTCTTTGACTTGAATTGTTGGGTAAACACATGTTCTTACCAGGAAATTATGGCATATGTTCTGACTTGATTGTTGCTAAAACTAATTCTTTGTGTATGTTGAAATATTACATAGACAAATTAACTAAGTGTTCAAGGTGACTCTGTTGGGTGTCAAATGTTTCAAAAAATTAAAAGTTTTATCGCTTGTTATTGTATTGATATTTACAATACTTGGGGCTAACTTCTTTGTGTGTTGAAATATTACATAGACAAATAGACAAATGGTTAAATGAACTAAGTGGTGAAGATGAGTCTATTTTTGTGTCAAATGTTTCAAATATTTTAAAGTTTTATTGCTTGTTATTGTATTGATAGTTACAGAATATACTTGTTGAATATCATGTGTACACATTGAGTGTTATATTAATTTTGGAATAAAATGAAATCAAATAATTTCAGGTATAAACATGGATAAAGTTAACCTAAATTCTACCATGACTTCAGTAAACACTGGATTGTGATTGGTTAATTAAAGTCATTCAGAGGTATATAATCACGTTATACAGGTCTCTGTTTTCCGTGCGCAATCATACATGGTTTACGGTAATGCACTATTTTTGTCTGCCCACTAACATGGCGGACACCAAACAACCTACCGATGCATCGATAAATTACGGCGATTTACTGTCGGAAATTACACATATGTCTTTAAAGATGGATTTAGCGATGACGGGCTCGACTCACTACTTGCGTAAATCACAGCAATAGGTGTTTATACATACAAAAGTACTTCGAAAGCATGGAAATAAATATTCAGTCGAACAAGATCAAAACATCGTCTGCTTTCCGAATAAAAATTCAGCAAAAACAAATTGGTTTACGTTGATTCTATGTTATGTCAGAATAGATCCAGCAATAGACTGCTACAAAATTTCCGTGTTAAATTTATTATCAGCTTTCGTCAACGATATCGCCACTGATCTTGATCCGGTAACGGAGGATGCATTAACATCGAACGCCGAAGACATTTTAATGCCTTCCGTCCACATAAATAAACAGTTGGGTTATCAATTCAAACAAAATGATATTTTGAAATTTGTACTGTTTCAAATTGAGCGGTAGTAAAACACAATTAGATCTACAGAATCTGCAAACCGTTCTGTTTAGCCCAACATATTTTTTTTCTAAATGTATAATATCGTTGAAAAAAGTTATTTAGCTTAGTCATGATCCCTCTTATCCATTACACTGCTTGATCTAAAGTAGTCTATTAAAGTATAATTAATTACCTTACCGTGTTTATGCCAGAGGTACACCCTCGTGTCCTGATCCATCCTTTCGGATATCACCACAAATCTGGCTCTTTGTCAACAGACTCGCGAACATGCCAGCGAATCCGATTCAATTTGAATTCACTACACTTTGAAGCCACTAGGTCACAAAACACTTTCCAAAATGTAGAAAATAATATCCGTAGAATCGAATTTGAGCACAAAGTACACACATGAGTGTGTAAGAGTCACCACAGCTGTCGCACGCAGACGTAGAGGTGCGTGAAATCGTCAAGTTGACAGGGCGCAAAATTCAACAGTATCTAAATTCGGTACAACACGGACTTCTCGTTACAGCAAAAGCGCCCCTACTCTTAAATTTTGTACCAGTACCAGTAATTAGATATCAAAGACTATCTCAGTCATACAATCAGGTTAACCTTGCGCAAACTGTCAGAGGCTCTCCTGTCGAATCTTTCCAAATTTGCACGTAAATGTAAACAATGACTTCGAGAAAAGGTCAAGGCCATGAGGTTGCTGCCACTTTTCTGGTGGGGAAAGGGTCTACGGTGGAATTTTCAAATGTGAACCAAGCTTTTTAAACTTATTTGATATATGTTTTCCAACTTATCAGTTAATGATTGGTGATTGATGCATTGAAAAAACAAAACGTGATTTGTTATTACTGAATCTGGAGTTTGTTAGTCATTGACGGTTTGCCACCAAACACCCCGTTTCGGGCGATACCACTTGAGATTGGAATGCGAGGCCGCTTCACGTATTGACTCGTAACCAAAGAAAGAGCTCCACCTGAAATTGTTCATAAAATTGTCATGGTAGAATGGAGATAAACCTACTGTGTTGGAAAATCAGAGGTATATAACGAAATTATAATAGCTCTAAATTGTTCATTTAAAACCTCACGCTACGCGTTCGGTTTTAAATGAAATTTAGAAACTATTATAATTCCGTTATATACCTCTGATTTTCCCACAATGCAGGTTTATCTCCTAATTCTACCATGACTTCAGTAAACACTGGATTGTGATTGGTTAATTAAAAGTCATTCAGAGGTATATAATCACGTTATACAGGTCTCTGTTTTCCGTGCGCAATCATACATGGTTTACGGTAATGCACTATTTTGCCTGCCCACTAACATGGCGGACACCAAACAACCTACCGATGCATCGATAAATTACGGCGATTTTACTGTCGGAAATTACACATATGTCTTTAAAGATGGATTTAGCGATGACGGGCTCGACTCACTACTTGCGTAAATCACAGCAATAGGTGTTTATACATACAAAAGTACTTCGAAAGCATGGAAACAAATATTCAGTCGAACAGGATCAAAACATCGTCTGCTTTCCGAATAAAAATTCAGCAAAAACAAATTTGTTTACGTTGATTCTTTGTTATGTCAGAATAGATCCAGCAATAGACTGCTACAAAATTTCCGTGTTAAATTTATTATCAGCTTTCGTCAACGATATCGCCACTGATCTTGATCCGGTAACGGAGGATGCATTAACATCGAACGCCGAAGAAATTTCAATGCCTTCCGTCCACATAAATAAACAGTTGGGTTATCAATTCAAACAAAATGATATTTTGAAATTTGTACTGTTTCCAATTTAGCGGTAGTAAAACACAATTTGATCTACAGAATCTGCAAACCGTTCTGTTTAGCCCAACATATTTTTTTTCTAAATGTATAATATCGTTCAAAAAGTTATTAAGCTTAGTCATGATCCCTCTTATCCATTACACTGCTTGATCTAAAGTAGTCTATTAAAGTATAATTAATTACCTTACCGTGTTAATGCCAGAGGTACACCCTCGTGTCCTGATCCATCCTTTCGGAAATATCACCACAAATCTGGCTCTTTGTCAACAGACTCGCGAACATGCCAGCGAATCCGATTCAATTTGAATTCACTACACTTTGAAGCCACTAGGTCACCAAACACTTTCCAAAATGTAGAAAATAATATCCGTAGAATCGAATTTGAGCACAAAGTACACACATGAGTGTGTAAGAGTCACCACAGCTGTCGCACGCAGACGTAGAGGTGCGTGAAATCGTCAAGTTGACAGGGCGCAAAATTCAACAGTATCTAAATTCGGTACAACACGGACTTCTCGTTACAGCAAAAGCGCCCCTACTCTTAAATTTTGTACCAGTACCAGTAATTAGATATCAAAGACTATCTCAGTCATACAATCAGGTTAACCTTGCGCAAACTGTCAGAGGCTCTCCTGTCGAATCTTTCCAAATTTGCACGTAAATGTAAACAATGACTTCGAGAAAAGGTCAAGGCCATGAGGTTGCTGCCACTTTTCTGGTGGGGAAAGGGTCTACGGTGGAATTTTCAAATGTGAACCAAGCTTTTTAAACTTATTTGATATATGTTTTCCAACTTATCAGTTAATGATTGGTGATTGATGCATTGAAAAAACAAAACGTGATTTGTTATTACTGAATCTGGAGTTTGTTAGTCATTGACGGTTTGCCACCAAACACCCCGTTTCGGGCGATACCACTTGAGATTGGAATGCGAGGCCGCTTCCCGTATTGACTCGTAACCAAAGAAAGAGCTCCACCTGAAATTGTTCATAAAATTGTCATGGTAGAATGGAGATAAACCTACTGTGTTGGAAAATCAGAGGTATATAACGAAATTATAATAGCTCTAAATTGTTCATTTAAAACCTCACGCTACGCGTGAAGGACCCCAAATCTGCGTTTCAGCTGGCCAATTCCCCGCTCAACACAACTTCTTGTGATCTTGTGAGCTCTGAAAACAATTTTGTCTTAAATTATTGAAATAAATCAAAATAAATTTGGTTCACATAAGTTTGAAAAAAAATATTTTAGATATTTATGGGTGATTGTCTTTTTACTTTTATTTATATTCAATTTTACTCCAAAAACTCAGATATTTCTTCTGTCAGAATGTGGATTATCATTGCAAACACTAAAAAAAAGTTGAAATGAACAGAAGAAAACAAAACATATATTTTGGTGTGACCTAATCACAGTTTTATATCAGTGCATACTTAATATTCATATATCAAAAGAAATTATGATTATCTGATGGATACATACTTGCATATTACGAAAAGGTTTAGTTTGATATTGTTTACCGCATTATGTGTGATCCAAATTCTGACTGCACCTTTTATATAGTACCAAGGGGATCACTCCAACGTGTCAGGGTTAATTCTTACCGGTTGTATTTAATCTGACAGCCGGGTTGTGGGTGTAAGAAAGGTGTTAGCAACCAACGTCTGGACGGATAACCGCTGTCACCGAGGAGGTGACACCCAGCTGGCAAGTTGTTACCCTCCATTAACCGGAAAAGGCCACTCTGGGACAAGATTCTCGAGTCGTGTGGACCCAGGCCAGCGTGCAACGATGTCAATGATGCGATCGAAGGGATCGAATACTACCTGAAAAATACAAAACCACGGCACGTTTACAAGTTTGTTACGCCCAAATCGACGATCGAAAGGTTTGAGACGTTACTGTACATGTGTGTCTTTAGAAATGAACTATTTTTCATCACACAAAATATGAATCCGTAAAGAAAGTACCTGTGTGTTGATGCTGTGGTAGTGATGCCGATTGACGTAAACATCCTCATTTACAGTCGGTGCCTGTATCTGTATGTGTGTGCCATCAATGACGCCGATCACCCCCGGGAAGTTGGCTGTCCGGTGAAACTCCACCTTGTTACGTTGACACTCGGCAGGACTGGGAAAGTGTATAAACCGTGCCACCATGGCAGGTGTGGTCAAGGCTTCTACAGTCGTGCATATCGCACGTGAAACGCTCGGTTGGCTCAACCCATGATCATCCCCGTTACACAATTGAAACTTGCCTGTTGCCAGGAACCTCAAAGTGACTAAAAGTTTTGTTGTCGCGTCAATTGCATGATTCCGTCCAGTTAATGGCTGTATTTGTGCTCCAACAAGTTGCAATAAAAATCTAATACCTTGTTGGTTCAGTCTGTATCTCTTAAGAAGTTCCTCATCACGCATATCATTGAATCTGTTGGATCTTGGCAAATAAACACGCTGTGCGGCAGCCATCTTAGTTACAGACTTAAGTTGAAATCCTATAGTTAAGCCTACATGGATGCAGGCTTAGGAAATAAGTCCAAAAACAACAAAACTTAAGTCTAAAACCTTTATTGAATATGACTAAGAAAAAACAAGTGACTTAAGACAAAACTTAAGTTTTTTCAAAAAACTTAAGTCACTTTCCATAGACTTAAGTCTTTTTAAGGACTTAAGACTTTTATAGAATACCGCCCATGGTGCAATAAGTAGTAATTAGTGATCCAAACAGCAATTCATGATACAGGCAGTAAATTATGTACAAGTAGTGAAATACGATGGACCTACATAATTGAGCATAAAAGAGCATAATTGATATAGTACGACAGCTTTATTATTACATGCTGGTCAGTTGATGAAAGAAGTAGTTTAAATGCTAATGTAGGTGGCTTACATAGATAATATTCAGCTATATATTTCGTACGCAAATCTTTATACAAAGGACATACAAGTAAAAAATGGATTTCATTTTCCACATCTATATTACACAGTGGGCACATTCTCTTGCAGTCGTTGTGTATGTAGAGTTTGAGGTCCCCCAACTCGCTGCTCCGTAGTCAACTGTCGACCAGACCATGGCGTCAAAGAGTTTCCTGTATGTTGTGTAGTGCATACCGCCCATGGACTTGAATTTAGAAATCAGTAGACCCAGCGCTCGACCTGCCGAACTAGCTACAACCTTGGCCATCCTTGCGTAGTCTAAGTGTTCTGTTATCAATAGGCCTAAATAACAGTAACTGTCCGTTAGCTCTAGTGACGTAGGAACGCACTGAAAAACACAAGTCGTTCTTGGCATATTTACAGGTCTACAGTGTAGAACTTTTGATGTATCCGAGTTTACAGTCATGAAATTGTTCTCACACCAGTTATGTAAAATGTCTAAAAGTACTTTTAGGTCCGCTTCATCTTCAGCTAACAGGACCAGATCGTCTGCATAAGCTAGCACAATCAGTGTTTCGTCAATAAACTTCACACCAATATTGAAACTCTTTATGGTAGTTATCAAATCATTGATATAGACGTTGAATAGCATAGGGGAGAGAAGGCATCCTTGTTTAAGCCCACACTTGACGTTAAACCATTCAGTCATATTTCCATGTATTCTGACACAACTCTTCACGCTCTTGTAAAGGAAGATGATAGCTTCATACATCTTTCCAAAGATTCCAAGATCAGACAGTTTTCTCCACAATATAGACCTATCAATATTATCATAAGCCTTTCTAAAATCTATGAATGCTAAAAACGTCGATTTCTTTAAAGATTTCCGAGTTTCCACTATGGATGTGAGTGAGGATATATGTTCTACTGTGGACCTGCCCCTCCTGAAACCGTTCTGCTCCTCAGCTATACAGTCCCTGGTTTCTGTATACTTGTACATTCTTGTATTCAGCACCGAACAGTACAGTTTATAGCTTGAATTTGTCAAGGAGATACCTCTGTATGATAAAGGGTCATATTTATCAGCACATGATGACTTCGGGATAGGATTGATGATACTCATAGCCCATTCACTCGGTATTACCACTGTATCTTGTTACTTCTGTATTTAAATGCGAGTTGAGTGTTATTACTTACTATCATTCATCCTTCCTGATTTACAAGCGAGTTTTTACATTGAAATGACAACATCAAAGGCACTTATCCGTGTTACCAACGCAATACCCATGTCCTCTTCTGGCTAACTACTATTCCGACATAATATTATCATTTATTGTCATTTGTATCTCATATGCCGATGATATCGGCCTAAGTGTAATAAAGTTCTGTTCTGTTCAGTTATTTATTCAGGACATGAACTTGGCAACTTGCAGTCTTTCTTATCGTTTCTCATATTACAGATCAAATATAGATAACAAACACTAAAATTTAAACTTTATTATATTTTTACAGTTAATGGAAAATGACAAAATACCCAATTGAGTTGGAGTGAGGTGGGTACAATTTATTTGGTTACTCAAATAAATTATTCTCAAAGAAAAATTAGGATACCCAATCGGGATGACCACAAGCGAGTACATAACTCAATGACCCAAAAAGTTATCTGTAGCTCTGGCATTTAGTGCTGGACAGAAAAATAAAAAGTGAAGTTCATCACAGATATCTAAATTCACACTATGTTTCCATTCTTTACAATACTGGTCAAACACATTCAACGTTTTTTGCAATCCATCACTTGTTTCAGCTAATATGACAGTATCGTCAGCGTAAAGTAATATCAACAATTTCATAAAGATACCAAGCTGGTCCTCAATAAGCTTATTTACATGTTGTTGAATTAGTTTTTGCAAATAACTGGATAACAGGATATTTTTATTACTGAAGATGAAAGTGAAATAGTATTTATAAAATTCAGTATAAACATGTTTTATAATAGTTAATTTCCCCATGACTTTTTTCCGTGACTTTCATTCCGATCAACATTCTAGATAGCTACCTGTATGCCAAGAGCAAGGTGAAAGGAGAAAATGAGATGTTCAAGTGACTTTCTAATAAGTGTTATCTGTGCACTGACAAACATGTGATGTAAAATAATATGGTGCTTGGTCTCATATGTTTGATAGGTACATGTATATAAATTATTGTTTTTGATAATATTCACAAGTAAATGTGATCTGGCAAATAGATGCTGATGTACACATGTGTTGCTGCAATATGTCTTAATTTAAAATCATGATTCATTATATGAACTGAAAAAAACTATAGTTAATACCTAATGTTGTCTTTTTATCTGGGCACATGCCATTAATATTATTATCAAGGGTACAGCTTCATTAAGCCTTATGCAACCAACCATAAAATGTGTTGTTTTAAGCGGTCTGTCTTTTGGGAGGTCTGTCTTATGGGAAGATACCACCTGATGTATTTCACCGAGACGCTTGGTATTGGTGACAAAGATCATTCGTCATTTTGTTGTAAAATGTATGAGGCATTGACGAACCCATGTGATTGAAGCTGAGTTTGAATAATACGTGATGTAACAGACATCCGACATTAGTGTAACATGGGTTTATAAACACTCTATAATATCGGAGAAAGTTCGCCTCGGCGTTTGTGTTTTTCTATTTTACAAAACACCCATAACGATTCTCAATTCAATTCTTTATTCTCATAAACCACCTTGCTGGTACAAGAGCATATATCTTAAACATATATACTAATACAAATTCAAGATAGCAGACAAACAGAAGAAAACAACATTATTTTCTGACAACAGATGATAGATGTATAATACACTATGACCAATTTACTATGTCTCGAGATTGCTGTGTAAATAATATTTTTGTAAACATATAATGGAAAAAGATGTTACATGGGTTGGTAAAAATTCGTTCCCAAAGTATCTAGTCCTTTACAATTAAAAATATAATGATATTCATCTGTAACTATGGTTACATGTTCTAAATCTCAATAATGGTAAAACAAAACGTTTTGGAAGGAAGAAATATGCATCAAAATTAAGAAATGACTTCAGATGGTAATAAATTCCCATGGGACTAGAAATAATGTCATTTTACCAGTTTTGGATAATGGGGCGTGGTGAGCGAGCTGGCTAAGGCGCCAGGCTAGTAATCCAGCGAGCTTGAGCTGCCGGGATCGAGCCCACAACTGACCGGGTGTAAAAACCTTGGAGTCAACTTTGTATTTCAGACTCTTTCAGTGTTGTCACAACCAGTACAGTACACAACCCTGTGCACTTAAAAGAACCCACGAATCCGTTGGTAGATGACAAGATGGTGGCCTCATGAATACGTGCAAACACCTAGTTGCGGGTACAGCAACGTGCAGTAAACTAAGTACTGTGACTACGTGTCCCAGTCCACCCAAATGTGAATGGGTACCTCGTAAGGATGGGAAAGCCACATTAAGTCGGTGCGCCTAGTGGCAGCAAGAGTTGTATGCTCCCCCAAGGAATTGAGATTGATATTACGAAGTGCCGTTGAGACTGACATCCTATGATCGAGGAAAAAACAAAGCGCCTATGAGCAGCCTAGCTGGAACTCGGTGCTTTATAAATAGATTGTAATAATAAGAATAGATTGTTGTTTAAGGATATGTGTAACTTTTGAGAACAGCCACTGGGCTGTACAAATTGAGAGATTTTCAAAAACATGCGAGTGTCCAGTATTGTCTAATATATTTTTAGCGTGCGAGAGCCAGGGATGAAATCTTTTATTTTCCTTTGAAGTTATAAATACTTATAACTTTAGTTGATTAGCTCAAAAACACCTTCTTGGTAAGTTAACTTGTGGCAAACATTTATTAAATGTTTATATATCATAATTCTAATTGGGAATCTTCCTAGTTCTCTGTAGAGCATACAGCGAGGGATTGAATTGATTAATCCTGTAATGAGTCTTATGAGTATGAAATGAATTTTCTCCAAAAGTTCAAGTTTTTCGAAAAACCAGACTTTTGCACCATAGGTCAAGATAGGTATTACCATTAAGTCAAATGCTAACTTCCATGAATCACAATAGTCCTTAAATGTGCCCAACGCATATTGTAATCCCTTTGGCGATTCATAAAATAATACTGCATCATCTGCATATAATAAAACTAACAACTTCATAAATATCATCAAATCTTTGTCACACTAGATACTGAAGTCAAGAGTCTGAATGGACTGCAAACGTTCACGTAATGTCTTGGGTTTATTCATTGATGTGTCAAGATATTGTACACAAAAGAGTTTTTGATCCGCTTATTATTTCAATTTCTGTAATGATTTGATTACAGTGCCTATCTAATTTTGAATTCGTACTGACGTTTTTTGTAGCTGAGTATAGTTGAGATTTACACCATTACAGTCTGAAGTAAGTAAATGAGATTCAATATCATTTGTGAAAATGGATTAATAATTGGTGATTTGATGAACAAATACCCATGATCACGATGCTTTTTAAGATCCAGTTGCCAGAGTGAACGTTTGACATTTAGATTCCAAAATATACACTAATAATGCCGTGAACGGTGATTATGTAATATGGCAAAAATGACAAGACTTAAGATGCATGTATTTTTCAGTAATTTTACTCTCCTCAAATTAAGTGGATGACTTGTCTTGCTCACGCTGTTATGACCTGCAAGATATCCGTCCACTGATCTGTGCGTCGAGTAGCTACCAAACTGAGATAAGGGGTGATAGATTTTCTAAATGATAACATATTCATGTTTAAAAAAACAA